GTCCTTATCCCTTGGGTGTGACCGAACCCACCCCTCGGGGGTCGGGCGAGGCGGAGTGTATCCCTCAGCCCTTGGGCGAGGTGGAGACTAGCCCTCAGCCCTCGGGCGAGGCGGGGATGGCCCAAAGGCGTCGGGCGAGACGGAGGCCAGCCCTTTGCCCTCGGGCGAGGCGGGGCTGGCCCAAAGGCGTTGGGCGAGACGGAGGCCAGCCCTTTGCCCTCGGGGCCCTTTGCCCTCGGGTGAGGCGGGGTTGGTCCAAAGGCGTCGGGCGAGACGGAACCTAACTTTCATCATTCGGGCAAGGAACGCAGCGGCGCCCTTGTCCGTCCAGAAGTTTTTAACGTTCGATGGTTATTGGTTCCACCTTCTGGGGTACCCTGGTATTAGGTCCCCGACAGAACTATATACGTATGAGTGTGATACTTATGTGATATGTGACATGTGTGCTCTCTACTTTGATCTATATATATGTCATGTCACTTCATTATGCTCATTTGCTTTGCTTCCACGCTTTACTCTGATTCAAATGAGCTTTATTTCTTGTACTCATGCTTATTTCATATCTATTGAGTACACCATGTTGGCTTGGGTCATATAAGCTTGTCTAACTTCTTTGCTCTTATTGTCGAAAGCTTATATGAACCAAGCATGTTGAAAACCTTATCTCTTTCACATACTCGAGGTTGTATTGTCATCAATCACCAAAAAGGGGGAGATTGAAAGCAACTAGGCCCCTAGTTGGGTTTCGATGATTAATGACAATACGAGATTACTATGACTAATGTGTGTTTTGTAGAGGCAATTAAGTTAGGTCATGGTAAAAGCAATTGATTGGACAATCATGGTTGTCATGCCCCTACTATGGAAATCGTTTTGATTTTCAAAGGATGGACGACAAGGTTAAGGATGGACTAGTTCTAAGTGTCGTTTGGAGTTGAAGAGACACTTAGAGTAGTTTAGGACTTTGTTTTTCCTTTGGCCGTACTATTAAGGGGGGTATGAACTAGTAGCTTGACCTAGGTGAGTCTAGTGAGTTAGGTGTAGTGCACACTTGTCAAATCTAGCACTAGGTAGCTTTGGAGTAGCCCTAAGATCAATTGGAGCAAACTTCATTTACATATGATTTTGAGTTGGAAGTGAATGGAGGGTTAAATGACTGACCGAACGCTGGTCTAGTAGTGACCGGACGCTGAAGGGTGAGTCAGGTCAGTTCATTTGATCAACTGGAGCCGTCTGGTTGCGATAGGACGCTGAGTGAAATGTGACCGGACGCTGGGTGCCAGAGTCCGGTCAACTCCAGAGAGGTTTCAGAGAGGGAGTTTTCTGATCGGACGCGTTCGGTCAGTGCTGGCCGGACGCTGGTCAGGATCCGGTTACTGACCGGACGCTGAACAGTGAAGTGACCGGACTCCGGGTGCCAGCATTCGGTCAACATCAGTAAGGTTCCAGAGAGGAGTTTTCGTGATCGGACGAGTCCGGTCAGACTGGACATAGGTCAGAGTCCAGTCACAATTTAACGGCTCTATGGCGGGGAGAACTAACCGAAGCGTCCGGTCACCCCGCAGAGTGCTGACTCAACCTCCTAATGGTTCGTTTTGAATGAGAGGCTATAAATACTTTCTCTATTCATACAAGGGAGGTCTCTTGCCCATTTGATCAGCTGAGAAACATCCTTGAGAGTGTTTAGGAGGGCAAGAGCCTAGTGAGGTGATTGATATTTGAGAATCTAAGATTAAGGCCTCATTAGTGCATGGAGAGTAGCAAGTGTGCATCTACCCTTCTTATTAGGCTTATTGTGGTTAAGTGAGGGTTCGTGCTTGTTACTCTTGGTGATCGTCATCACCTAGACGGTTTGGTGGTGGTCGGGAGTTTGGTGATCATCCGGCGGAGCTTGTGGATGACCCAACTCAAGTTGTGAGCGGTTGTGGGCGATTCACCGCGACGGAGTATCGAAGAATTTGCCCGTAGAGAGCACTTGATCCTTGCGCGGATCAAGGGGGAGCTACACCCTTGCGCGGGTGCTCCAACGAGGACTAGTGGGGAGTGACGACTCTCCGATACCTCGGTAAAATATCGTCGCATTCTTTCTCCTCTCTTTACCTTAAGCATTTACAATCGAGTAATTCATTTCTTGTCTTTACTTTATTAGAATTGTCATGTTAGAGTAGAATTGGAACTTAGGGTGCTAAACTTTTGTGCGGTAGATCAATAGAATCACATTCAAGGCACAAAAGATGAAGTGGGCTAAGTGTATGATTTATTTATTACAAAGTATTTTAGAATTAGCCTAATTCACTCCTCTTTTTGACATCTTGATCCTTTCAATCTAAATATCTGGTCATCAATGTACTTTGTGCATGGGCGAAAACTACTTTTGCCCCGTTGGGCTTACCTTATACTCCATACTATTAAGTTTATTTTTTCAGTCAAAATAGTATTTTTCTCTCACACCAATTCAGTCAGAACAGTATTTTTCAGTCAATTCAGCTAAGTTTCAGCGAGCCGAACGGGCCAACCCAAAGAAAGTCGCACGGCTGGCACCAGAAGCTTTGCCATGGAACTGTTATTGCTGAATAGAAACAGACTTGCACTTGTTGCAATTGCGATCACGAGATAAAGGCACCGGATATTATGGTGCTGTAAAAAAAAAAGTTCGGACAAACAGAAGCAGGGAGCTGCTAAAACAGAAAGGTCCGGTGAGGCCCAAACGCTTAAAATGAAGGATCCGGTGCGGCCAAAACGGCAAAACGCTAACAGAGTGCAGCTTCTCGAGCACGACACCGATTGAGACTGAAAAAGGGTGTAATCAAATTCAGACAAGCTGTAATTTTAACCAAGGTCTCATAGCAAGACGTGCTATCTAACTTAGCCATACACGCCCCAAAAGATTTAGTTTTAAAACACCAATTTTAGCAAACTGGGAAAACGTAGAGGAGGAATTTTTGGAGAAAAAAAAACCATTGGTTTAAGGTGCTCGTGAGGGATTTGATCATATTGAAGATGGACCCACCTCTTCACATGTGCTAGCACTGATTCCCTAAAAAAAGCCTAACCAATATCACAGGAAAAAAAACTAAGAATGAAGTTCCACGAAAATAGCCTGAAATAGAAAAACGGAAAGTAGATCAAGATGAACTCAATTTTTTTGAAATAAACTGGATTAATAACGAACCATGAATTTATCTGTACAGGATAGATCCTACTAAGAGAGTTAATCACCACTTGCTCATCCCCGAGGGTTAAAGCCGTCCAAATCTTTCCTTGCGCATCTAATGGTCTCAGGTGCAACATCTTCACAACTTTGCTTCGCCTCGATGCAAGCTCCATGATGTTGCCACTCTCCGATTTTAAGGTTCAAACTGGCAAACCCGACACCCACGGTTTTGAGGCAAAAAACGCTAAGCCCATTGGAGTCATGTAACCGCTACATCTTGTCCACTATGTCGACGCGTATCCTGCTTGTCCTTGAACGGCTGATCACCGAGTGCTCGTGTGCCCACCTTGGCTTGGTTCAATCGTCGTCTCCATCACTATCCTCGCATGTACATTTTCTTGTAGGCGTGCCCAAGTGCTAGTCATCCACAGTCCATCCTCCGGCCCTTGGTCTCTCGGTCCAAGCCTTCGCGCCCGTCCTTTACCGCTCTCGGCCCATCATGCACGGACTCTCACTTACCTTCTTCATTGCCGTCGACCATCATGACACGTTCAACACCTGCATGTCGACAAGGCAATAGACATGTTACATACACTAACTCACGCATCGGTTATTCCCACACACACTTAACCAAAACACTGATTGTTTTCTGGATATCACTCATCACTCACAATATAGGCACATAGCAACCATGTGTTCTCAAGAAGACCATAAACTAGTGATTAATTTTAGTGTGCCAACTTATTATAGAAATAAGATGAATGCAATTCTTTGCTTTCCATGGTGAACGTTTTACTGTGTTAGGATTTGTTCTGTTCAATATTGACGACTCTTTTATTTCCTTCCTGTTTTGTAGTCTTATGGACTGATGCCTCTTGCCTGCTCGTTGGTTGGTTTCAGCCAGCCCAAACCAGCCAGCCAACAGTGTTTTTTTCTCACAACGAACCAACACCAGCCAGCTCAAACCAGCCTAAAAATCAACCAGCGAACATGCGTCTAAAGGTTTGAATCCATGAACTTTCCATTTTCTAAAAATAGTACCCTAGTTCGTCTTGAATGGACTATCACTACGTAATCTTGTCATAGGAGTATATGTTAGTGAGTTCACACTAAGGCAGGATGTCATTTTTTATTACAGGATTGGCCACATCAAGTCTGCAGGCCACACCAAAATGCAGATCAATCAAATTATAAAAAATCCCGTCGAATCTACCATGCATAATTCGCACCCTTGCCATTTGGATTATATATATATATACACACACATGTTGCAGTAGGAATTTTGGACGTTAAAGCATATCAAATCGGACGGACGGGAGATGGACAATTATCCTGTTCGTTTGGCTGATAAGATATAGTTAAAAGTAGTGTTGGTTGATTTATTATGAGAAAAAAATACTGTTCGTTGACTGAAAAAGTACGGTTTATAAGTCAAACGAACAGGGCGAACGCCACCGTGGCATAATGCTTCTGAACCATCTAACGCTAGTGCCCGGATCAGCTAGATTGGTTAATTTGGGACCATAATCACGTCAATGGCTTAATGCTTTGCTCGCAAAAAAAAGAAGAAGCTTTGTCTCCTCTGTTTGGGTTCCAGCTCGGGGGCACCAGCCTTGCACTTCCGGTCGCATCTAGGCTCACCCACTCAGGTCAACGGCCCCTCCGCGCCCACAAGTCGAAGCTGTATAAATACACCGTCGGCCGTCTCATACCGCCGAACCAAATCCAGCGTCCGCAGAAAACACGCTCCCGCCGACCCCCATAGTTTCCACTCCACACTTCGATCCTATCCTCCCTCAAGCACTCAACCAAGAACCTTTCCCCTTCCAAGTTACTCGAGGGATCCATGTGCGGCGGTGCAATCATCTTCGACTACATCCCGGCGCGGCGCCGGGTGTCCGCCGCCGACCTCTGGCCTGATTCCGAAGCCGACGCTGAGTACTCTCACGCCTCGCACACCCCTGCCCCTGAGGGAGGTAAGCAGCTCTGCTTCCGTTCCGTCTTGCTCTGTTTCTTCCTTCATCCATCCAGCGAACTGCAAACGTTCAATGTTGTGTGTGAGTGACGCTCTGCTGCCGACTGTTGTTCCCGTGCAGCGCCGCGCGCGAAGAAGGCGAAGCGTGGCCGCAAGAACCATTACCGCGGCATCCGGCAGCGGCCGTGGGGCAAGTGGGCGGCGGAGATCCGCGACCCCGTGAAGGGCGTCCGCGTCTGGCTCGGCACGTACCCCACCGCCGAGGCCGCCGCGCGCGCGTACGACCGCGCCGCCAGGCGCATCAGGGGCGCCAAAGCCAAGGTCAACTTCCCCAACGACACCTCCTCCAGCGGCGTCACCGTGCCGACGGCCGCGGCGCCGGGGGCTGCTGCTGCTGCACTGCAGGCCCCGGCCGTTCTCCCGGCGCCCAAGGTGGAGGCGCAGACGCAGGTGTCCGACGAGGTCAAGGAGCTGTTCGAGGAGCTGATGGCCTCCGAGAACTACATGAACTTCCTCGGCATCCCCTACATGGAGGGCTGGAATGCAGCTGCTGGTGCTACCACCGCTGCCGCTGCCGCTGCCGCCGTCGCCGAAGAAGCGCAGGTGCCTGCGCTGGCCGGTCTGTGGAGCTTCGAGGACTGCAACGACCCGACGTCTCTGTCGCTCTTCACTGAATAATGAACGCGGTTTACCGTGTCTGTTTTGTTAACTCTTTTGTAAAAAGATTTCCTGCTCGGTCCTAGTCGCTGTGAGCCTGTGACGACTTAGCAACAATCGAGCTCCTGTTTTGTGTTTTGTTGATCCCATCCATTGTTTCATTTCTGTGACTGTACTCTGTGTCTGTAACTCGCAAGTTGAGGCATCTAATCAAGATTTGCAGTTTAACTCTGATCTTTGCTGTTCAGCAGCTCGCTGCAGAGGAATCTCTTTCATTTTGGACGTGATTGAATTGGTTTTACAGTTACAACGCGCTGTTTGAGTGTTGGTCGATGCATGATTCTCCCATCGGTGGATCATTTTAATATACGTGAAGTCGTGTGCTCGACAAAAAAAATAAAAATCGGTGGATCGTTGGGCCTTTGTAAATAGGCTTGCCATTTTAGCTGCTCATCATTTGAAAGATTTATATTTTATTACCGTACTGTTGAATTGGATACTCACGGCGTGTTCGGCTGGCTTAAAGCCAGCCAGCTGGTTTTTTTCCTCTCATAGAATCACTGTTCATATCTTATCAAAATAGTATTTTTCTCTCACAACAATCAACCGAAACAGTATTGTATTTTTCAGTTCTACCGAACAGACCCTCGCATCTGTGCCGTTGTTCCTTGCATTCCCAGAACATAAAATGCGTGCCTTCTCAGCTTCAGGAGAAAGACCCCGGGCCCCCCCGGCCGGCTAGTGAAGAAAGTTCCAATCAAACAGAGAAACACTCCAACCACAAACATGCGGATGCGTCTAGCCTTCTCCGGACCGTAGGATCAGGACTCAACGGAAGATGCGAGACCACGGCGCCGACGCGCCGCCGTTTCGTGGCCCGTTGTTTTGTGGTCGTACAGCTAGCGGTCGTACACGGTCGTACAGCTAGCGGTCGTACACGGTTGTTGCTTGGAGTACAGGCCAAGGCGCGTCAGGCATTTACCGTGGGCCGCCGAGGATTCGTGGGGCAGCCGCTGGTTTTTGGGCCGGCGGCGCACGCTGAAACCCAAAGGGGCCCGCATCCACCCACCTACCTCCGTGTCTGCCGGTATGACCAAGAACAAGAAGGAAAGGCCAGCTTGGCATCTTCTGCACGCAATGACGCAACGCCACTCCTCTGGAGATGTTTGCAGTCCATACAGCGATTTCCTCTGTTTTCGGTACTCCTACTCTTGTACGTAGGGGGTGTTCCGCTCATCCTCGAATTCATGTCACATCAAATATTTATATATTAATAAAAAACGTTAAATATAGATTAATTATAAAACCAATTATATACATGGAGGCTAATTTACGAGACGATTTTTAAGCCTAATTAATCTGTCATTAGCACATGTTTACTGTAGCAGCATGTTGTCAAATCATAGACTAATTAGGCTTAAAAGATTCGTCTCGTAAATTAGTCATAAGTTGTGTAATTAGTTTCGTAATTAGTCTATATTTAATACTCCATGTATGTATTTAAATATTCGATGTGACAAGAATTTTAGGAGCGCATGTAGAAACTAAACAGAGCCAATTCACACACCCATATAGTTACACTGTTAAAAACTTCACCACATAATAAGTTCTGAAATACTTAGTTAAATACAAAAAAAATATTAGTGGATAGTAGCAATTAAATATTTATACGGGTTTAATAGGGATTCATTCACTAACAAACACTTGTCAAACTAGGAATAGTAAAAGTCAACACTGACAAGTAGTAATTTTACTTACGGAGGGATGTACCATGTTTGTAGCCGGTGCTGCTAGGATCGCATTGGATTTTATATTGTAGAAAGAAAGAAAGAACAAAAAAAAAACACTATTCCAATTGAGGTTTCAACTTTCCATCTCCAACATGCGCATACACCTTATTCCTGTGAGCACCTACGAAGTACACAAGCAGCCGTCTACAGGCATATACGCTCATTCATCTATAAACACATGTGCATACACCTTATTCTTGTGAGCACCTACGAAGGATGGGATCATCAACACATATATCTCACTGTCGATACACACATTACTTACCATAAAAGAACAGTGCAGTTAAATGCTGAAAAAAAATCTAGAAAAAATGCGAGTACTCATGTCCATGTAAGTCAAGAACTTAAACTCGAGAGGACGGGTCCCTCCACAAAAAAAAAGCTGCCCAGTTTACAAGCCATAGATTTCTTTACCATACCCATTCATCTTATTAAACATCTATATGAAAAAAATCAAATTCAAATAAAATCAAAATTTTCTTAAAACAATTTCCATCATAAAAGTAGAATGCAATAAATTCCACTAATTTTAAAATTCCCTTGCATCATGGCTATTGCTCGTCTATACTATTAGGGTATTACCTATATAGTGTAAGTGGCCAAGAAGGTGCAGAGAACTAGGAAGACGAGACATAAAGTAAACAATGGAGGAAGGAAAAAAAAGAATGAGGGTGACCACAAGTTCTTATTTGTAATTTTTTCTTGGAAATAGATAGATTTATCGGATACGATTACAAGATCACGGTCATTTAACATAGGACACAACAATGATCATAACATTAATTTCTCTAATCCTAGGAGAGAGATGTGATAGTAAATGTCCTTTTTGCCCTCCAATAAAGTAGAGCTTGCATGTTAGCTCCATCCTCCTTACTATCTTGTTCGTCCTCTTGTTCTTGCACCTACATCAATGGCCGAGGTAGGGTAGGCACAGTGGAGGTGGAGGCAGAGGCGGAGGCGGAGGCGGGGCACCATTATTAAAAGGGACACTAATGGTATAGAGTAGAGAAATGATGATAAGTGTAGTTGAAGAACATAGCCGTTGTAGCTATATCAGAGCCAATGGAACTAGATCAAAGGGTGCATGCCAGAACAGTAGTCCCATGCGCGTTAGGCGGTGAAGTATGAGTGTTGCTAGAGCAAGGAAGATGGTGTAGCCATGTGGCACCTCACGTCGAGCTATAGGCACAAAAACATGGAGAGGAAGAAGATAGGGGATGGTGTGCTGACATGTGGAGCCCAATTCAATGGAGTGAAAAATAATATATCATATCATGTATCTCTCAAATCATAGAAATTAATATTAAAATTTGTATGGTGTTGTAAGGCAAAGAATCACATGTAATGGTATTGACAAATTTAGTCACTTGTGTGAAATGGTGAATTGCACAAAACTTGGATACAACGTACCCTGCTATGTTTCACATATGAAATGATCAATGCCACATAACTTGGATGCACCATTGATATGAATACATGCATCATGCATAGCAATGAACCAATTAAAATAACACTGTTGAGATCTTTTTACTCTAGCAGATCAATCATATTAATCCAATACATAAATCTCCGTTGTTCAACTGCATTCTAGCTTAGTACTTTGATGACTGGCCAGTGAGTGCAGCGTAGAAGATGACGTTCCATGTGTCTAGGATACCGAAGACGCACCAGTGGGTGCAGTCGGTGCCGAAGTTGTCGCCATTATACTTTGTGGTGTGCCCGTCCTTCCTCAGTTGTGACACGAAGATGGTGTCGAGAAGATGCACAGGCTTCGTCATACTCGCCCGGATTCGCCTCACGATTGCATCTTGTGGATTTGGCTCACCGTGGTATGCAGCCGTGTTGTTCAATAGCTATGTCTCTCTCTCACACATCTTACCCCGCGGCGCACCCCATTCTTCGCTCCTGCAAGCATGGTTGTCACCTTGCTAACTCTTGTAAAAAAAATTAGAAAATCCCTATTTGTTTACAAGGACAATTGTGTAGAGTGCAGTGCCATTGCAGGAAAAGTACATTCATACTTCCGGTAGGAGGGAGAGAATCCTTGGAAGAAGACTTTGGTGTAGGTTAGGTTAAGGTTGGCATCAATCCGTCTAGCCCAAGTTTGTAGCCCCTTTGTGAATGCCTACTTCCGGTCCATGTCCTCCAATAACGTGTTGCCAACCTGAATGTAATCCCACCTGCAGCGAAGTATAGACAAAGTCCCAACCTACTCAAATTCACATGCCCAGCTAGGTAGACCTAGCCTAGTCAAATCAAAGAGCAATAACCTAGATATCTGTGATTTTGGAGGGAGAGGAGGTCTCGCATTTTATTTGAGCCACCACCAGCGCCAAGAGCCAAAGACAAGCACATCAATACCGAACCAGTTGCGACCTTCATTCACTACTAAAAAATGATTTTTTTTTTGCAATGCCTCCTTTTTTTGTAGGGGCAGTTTTAGATTGAACCGCCCCAACAATGTGCTCTAAGTCCAGCGAGAAAACAACCCGCCCCCGCGTCGCTCTCCCGAGCGAATTGGACGGTGCTTCCCTCCCCGCCGTCGGAGGCCGCCATGCCCAGCCCCTCACCCTCGCCACCACTAGAGCAGGCTGCCGGAAGCCCGTGCATCCGCAAGGATGGCGGCGGTGAGGCCACTCTCTTTCTCCTCTCTCTTTCCCTACGGGTGGTGGCCATGGTGCGATGGCCGGTGGCAGCTTGCTCCGGCGACCCTTGGTGTCCCATTCGCGGGATCCGACGGCCCTTTGGCTGGATCTAACGGGGCCCAAGGTGGCAACCAGTGGCGGCATGAGGATGGTGGTGGACGGGCACGATGGGTCTAGGCGGCGTGGGCCAAGCCGTGCGTGCGCTCGTCCGCCGCTCCAGCGATGTCTCCGGCCTACCCTGCAACGCCACCGACGTCTTGTCCCTCGCCGCGGCTATCGAGCCCTAGTCATTGCCGCTGGGTGATATGACAACGGCGGTGGCTCTGGGTTCGGTGCCATGGCGGTCTGATCCGACACTCCTAAGGGCCAGATCGGTGCTCCGGAGGTGCCAGTGGCGACGATAGCAATGGAGGCCGCGTTGGCTTTGGGGATTGTTGGTATATTTTAGACGCATACAGATAAATCCGCAAGCACACGGATACCGCTGTAGCTTTCACCTAGAAGTATTCCAAGTATCGTATCCACAGAGAAACGTGTGAGATTAACTATAGTCTAACTTAACTAGGAGTATCAACAAGGCTAAGGA